GGAATATGAGGGGGAAGGTGGCGGGAGTCAAATACCAGGGTAGACATAATGGCGGTCAAACATATGCACGATACCCCTTTTGATTTTGGTGTATGCGGTTAGACATCTCATGTAATATGCGATTCGGAATACGGCCAAGGGTTTGATAATTGGTCTAGGTTGACCATCAATTTGTTTCAGATATTTTAATGATACCACGAAAGAACACCACCTGATAGAACGTATGTGTCCTGGAACCTAATTATATCACGACATTAGCTTCTTTTACCGCGTGTTCAAGAGTATAAATTCACTTCTAAGCAGTCATCTCATGACGAAAGCTTCTGCTGTGCTATAACCTGGTCGCAGCACCGTACCTATCCATCGGACTAATGAAAAGAAACATAGTATCCGCTCAACTCTTAGTCGTGGATTGAAAACTCCCCGCAAAGTATCCCGACAACTCGTGGTAGTGCAGCGCATTGACGCTCGGATGAATTTACCACCTGGTCGTAGCCACCCTGTTTCAACCCATCTCATCGCCACATGCGCAAACACCACCAAGCACATTTATCTTATCTTGTCGATTGACCCACAACTAACCCCTATCCTCAAAATTAGTGAGGCTGTTCTCAACAAACACCTTAAACGCCCCAAGGCCAAACTCTCTGCTTCTAATGTGTGCATGCTCCAGCGGCATAAACCGATTATTTAATTCTCGCACAATCATTGGATCATAAAGTCATCCATCCTTCGTACAAACATCCAGTTTCCGGTCCACATCAGATTTTCCATGATCCACCTCTTAAATTCCGCCTCCGTCTAACAGAGCCTTAGCCGCCCTCTGCGCATTAGCCCTCATCGCCTCAACCTGCAACTCGAGGTTCCGGATCTGAGCACGAGCCTCGCGCAGGTCGCTAGCGAGCTTGGTGTTTTCTTCCGTCAGAGCTTCAGTTGCCTGTGCATGAATTTAAACGTCAATTATCACATATATGATAGGCCAAACACGTATGATTTACCTCGTTGGACGGCGGGGTCATGTGAGCATCTCCACTCGGCGAAGGAGCACTCTCAGCAGGAGTGGCCGGGATCGGCACAGACGCGGGGGTCGGGGGCTCAGAAGACTTAGGTGTCGGCGCAGGTGCAGGTGCAGGCGTAGGTGCAGGGGCTGCGGCAGCTGGAGGAACAAAGCTAGGCGTAGGGGCACTGGGTGGCGCCGCGCTAACCGCGCCTGTGCTGAGATCGACGAGATTGGGCGGAGCAGTCTTTCCGGAGAAGAATTCACCCGCGGTAAGCGCTGATTCACTGGATGGTGCGGGTGGGAAGATATCCGATTGGAATTGGTCGGACTTGGTGTATGTGAGTAATTATAGTTCTGGGTGGAATGGGCGTTGAATACGTACCTTGCGAGGGACGACAAAGGCGATTGGTTCAATGGTTGAACCATACACTTTGTAGGCACGCATAATCTCGCATTCGGCAACGTTGAGAGCACGACGGGGCAGGAAACAAATTCCTCGTTGAGGGTCAATCGACTTGTGCTCGGAGAGCTCGAAGAGCGTGTCGTTCTCGTACTCGTAGTAACGAATATTGCCGTCACTATGGAATAATGTATTAGTGTATCGTAACAATCAAAAACGTAAAATGAAACCCACCCTTTACCAGCGAGGAACAGCAAGTTGTTGTCACTCCAGAATGGCATAATAACACCAGAAGATTGATCAATCGACACAGTTTTGACGTTCGCCAGCGAACCCGTCTCCCAGACGCCGAGCTGGCGCTCGCTCATCCTGCTGAATCCAGTCGTAGCAATCCGGTCATATCCGCCCATCCAAACAACACGCGCGCCCTTGATACCGCCGTGACCATCACCGACGCGCACCGGGTCGCTTCCCGCACGTGGATCGAACATCCTAATCTTCCTATCACGACAGGTCGTCGCCAACAACGTTCCAGATGGGTTCCACGCCAAAGATTGGATCGTATCCATATGCCCTGTCAACGCGACCTGGGCGTCGTCAACCCTAGACAAGTCCCACAGCCGAACGGTCCCGTCTCCCACGGTCGACGCGGCAAGCACGTTCTCCGCAGTCGGGTGGAACAACACCTGGCCGACTTTACGACCTGAGCCCGAAATGCTCGAGACGGGATCAAAGTCGCGTGGTTGCCATTTCTCTGCACCCCAGCCCTCGAATTGCGAGGCTTCGACTTTCCAGATGAGGATGCGACCGTCTTCACCACCACTAACCACGACTGAGTCGTTGAACGGAGACCAGTCCGTATCAAGAACGGGGGCTGTGTGGCCACGGGCGAGAGGGATTAGGTCCGGGAGTTTGTATGGGAGGCTGTGGGGCAACGGGCGGAACGGAGACGCGAGAGGTAAGATAGAAAAGGCACCACCACCAGACGCGTTCCAGTTGAGAGCAAGGTAAGACTAAGAGAAATACATTTGAGCTTGCTCGAATGGACGAGGTAAAGGGTACTCACGCCCGAAGCACTAATGAGATTGGTGTCCCATGCGCTGTTAGAGACCTTCACATTCTCAATGCCCCATTCCTTCTTTGCCGACTGTCCAAAAACGTGTCTATACAACAGTTAGCATTTATCTGACGCGAGCACACAGCCAGCTTGCCTGTATTTCGAGGGCCGCACAAAGCGCGACATGGTCGTTGTACCGTGATGGATGAAAGCAACCCTTGATGTGGTGTGGTCACGTGTTTCCCACACACCACCCTGTCCCCATGCGGTCGATATTCATAAATATGCTATTCCCAGCGTTCAGTTTGCAAAGATGCTTGGCCCTCCATATAGGGCTGTCCCTGTGTTAATTTGCATGCGCACGTATTCAGTGAATGTATGCGGTTACTCTCCTGTTTGTAACGGTTGCTAGTATAATGTAGTAAGTATTCAACGGAAGGCGGTATTTGGAGATGTGGTGTGTGGGTTCGCATATTAAGAAAGTATTTTGGTTGCTTCAAAGCTATCCCGTTATCAAGTTGTGTCAAGCTTGATAGGTATTTTAACTACAAATGAGCAAATGATTACAATAATCGTGGCAGGACATCGCATCCATCCTCCCCGATCAAGACTGACAATGCTTAAACGGATCCCAACTCGACAGCGACCGCAACAGCAAGCTTGGCGAATTCCTGAAATACGAGAAACGATGTCAGAGGCAAGTTGAAAAGAATCCAAAGGAAACATTCGACATACCAAAGAGTGAGACCAGCTGAAACCGCTAACAGAGGTGGTATCGGCCGTAGAGTGGATGTTCTCGTTCTCGCTCACAGTAGGCGCTACAAATACGAGCCAGGTTTAGCAAAAATGTATAAAGTGCTTGTCAAAATCACACTTACCCTCGAAGGGGAAGGCGGCCGGGTAGCCCTGGGTAGTCCAACTGGCGTGATCGGAGCAGGCATAGCCGCACTATCAATAGACGTTAGTTTAAGCTGTAACTAATATATTGGTGCTGAGACGCACGTAGTCAGTGCCCGCAGGAATAGAGTTGTAAGCAGAGATCAAAGAGCGGAGGTAGGTGTTCAATCCAGAATCGACACGGTCGGTCACCAGGGCAATGACCTCCGTTGAACCGGGCGCGAAGCTAGCAGCTTCCGTCAAATCAAGTTCCCAATATATTATGTCCAAAATACTCACTAGCCGGTCATGTCAAAGTTCACCATAGCATAGACGGCCTTGCCCGCGCTCTTGTAGTTCGCAGCAATCGCCTGAGACCCCAAGAGGCCACCCTCCTCGCCCGAGTAGAAGTGGAACTCCACGGGGCGCACAGGCGCGAAGTTGGCAGCCACGAGCGCACGGAACACCTCGATCAAGTTCACAGTTCCCGTGCCGTTGTCGTCCGCACCGGGAGCGCGTCCAGAAGTCGGCGAGTTCAAGTTGATCGAATCCTCGTGAGCACCTATGATGACAGCCGCAGCCGTGGTCGAGGTGCCGCTGAACTTGGCGATAACGGACTTTTGGGTCCACGAGTGGCTGAATTGGGAGACGGTGATGCCGGTTTTGCCATTGGCGATAGAGACGAGCTGGTTGTAAATCCAGGTGCTGGCTTGAGCGCCAGTGGTGGATTGATAGTATCGGTTGTTGAAGGCGGTCAAGGTGGTGAGAGAGGTGGACATGCGGGAGGTGGAGAGGGTAGCGATGACAGATTTGACCAGGGTAGACTTCGACGGCGAAGGGTCTATAATAACATAAGTCGTAATTCGGAAGGAGCAGTATATTATACTTACAAGTCGCACGCTCGACAACGGCCTTAATACCACGGGCCTTGTGCTCCTCGGTTTCATGGTAGGTCTCGGTCAAATCAAACTAGATCAAACCGAATCAGTAGGAATCTATGAATCAAGTTGTTATACTCACGAAGTACGTCTTGACTTTGCGCAAATCAAGTTTATCCTGCTCAGTAGCCCAGAAAGGCGCGGTATCCTCAGACGTCTGGATCAGACGCAACCCCTTGCTGACATTGGCCTCAAATTCAGAGACCGGGACAGCAAGTACAGAGTACAAGCAAGCAGAGCCAAGGGCGAGCGCGCGCGCAAACTTCATCGTGAACGGGGGGAGAGGTAGAGCAACGGGATTGAACACCGCCAACTAGCATCGCTGTCTTTTCTATGCAAGACAATGCCCAGCTTCTAGCAGTGAGGCGTATGGCGCGTATGGGTTCTCTATTTCCAACGAGCGTCTTAAAACACACCGCGCGTAACAACGCGGTGCAATCCAGTGCTTAACCGAGTATTGATGTGCAAGCCTCGTGCGTCACTTGACTTGGGATGGCGAGACCACCATGAGAACGGCTGCGGAGAGGCGTCTTATCAGCGAGCTCCATGCGCCAAAGTGAATACCTGCACAAGGTTGCAAGAGAGAATGCTTGGCAAAGAAGCGCGGAAGGAGTCCGCGCCAAAATCCGAATCGGATGCGTCGATCTCCTTGACGTGTGGTGCCAAGGGAACAAGCACGATTTCAAAACGTCCCAGCCGACACAAAGGATAGATTTGAATGGAAATCACGGTTGGCTAGCTCAGTTGGTTAGAGCGTCGAGCTAATAGAATTCGGCATCGCCTTATTTGATCACTCGAAGGTCATGGGTTCGACCCCCCTGCTGACCATTTTTTTGCGGTTTATCTTGGAGGGTTTCATGCAATCTATTCATTCGTCGCTACATTTTTACAGCGTGAGAACCGCTTCTTGTGCGTGCCAGATATATCTTATTACGCCATAAATTTGAGGTTGATTTGAGTATATCCAAGCCGTCATCATTGGATGTGCAATCACTGACGTCATTCTCACGTTACCTTCCATGCACAACTCACTCCAAGCTCACTCGTTCTCTCCCACCACCAACCAGCGCTATTGACCTTCACTATCAAGATGTCCGCTCAACCTACTCAACCCGCTCTACCGTCTGAAATCGTGCCAATTAAGCACGAGGGTAATCAAGAAGTCGCGGCAGATCAACAAGGTCAGTCAATCTACACCAGGCAGCTTTCTGGGAATTGCTAAACACCCAAAATTGCGTAGCTGCAACTCAGCCTGGAAGTGGCTCCGCTATCCCTGGTGATCTGGAGCATTCTGCTAACGCTCACGCCGACCAACACGCGCACGGCGATGAGAAGTTACCGTTCAAGGAGCAAGTGAAAGGTGAATATTCCCTAAGGACATCTATCCTAGTACCATATCTAAGCAAATCATGACCAATCTTTAGCCTACGCAAAAGTCCATCGCGGAACTGTGAGTGCTACCTGTTTGTCCATTGCTTGCGACGTTTTGCTGACACGATTACTAGGTCTTGCCTGGTCACGTAAGTAACTCAAACGTTTGCATGGATAAGTTCGACGCTAAGCATTACCCTTCAACAGAAAGAAGAGAAGGAGCTAGGGCAGAAGATACTTGCCGGAGAGGTTCCTCCACCATAGAGCGCTTTAGATTATCGATATACCTCTTGTATCATTATCATGACCGTGTAGACTCCAAGCTGCCTGCAATTACAGTAATGAAGAAAATAGGCGCATACCTTTGAAAGCAAGCTGGCGGGCTGGAGTCCTCGTGCAATTATATGCACTGACAAATTTGATTTCGCCGCCGACGGAAGAAGCTAAGAAGCGCTGATCGAACAGCCCCGCCATCGAACATGAAACGCCTGGGCCCTGTCACGAAGTACATAAAGGACCAGCCCAAACCGTCAACCACTCCCACCTGCCTGCCTCTCCCGTACTTCCAACAACCACTCTCTTTCTAACTCACATTCTTTTTGCGACAAGATGTTCTTCGCTCGTATCGCTATTGCTGCTCTTTCTCTCGTCGGCGTCCTTGCTGCACCTCTTGCGTCTCCGGACAGCGGCTTCCACCACCTCGACTTGGCTAGGATTGGAGTCAAAGTTACTCGCGATGCGGCGGTCCCTCCTTATAATACCGCTCTCACACAGTTGAAGGGTCTCAAATCTCAAGTTGGTGAGTTGATCTCGAGTTTTCGGCCAACTGTTTCGTTGATTGTATTTGTCGCTACGCAGCTGATGCCATGGCTGGCCCCAAATCCGAGCGAGAGGGAAAATTCCTTGGAATCACGAGCAGCGCCCTTCAAGTTATGAAAGACTACAAGGGCAGCTTCACTAGCAAAGTCTCCCTGCTGGGCCTTTCGGATTCTCAACTTGGCGACCAGTTCGACAAGCTATCTAACGTAAGTGTCCGAAGTGTCTCGGATCCAATCCAAAAATAGACTAACGAGGCGCTTTTAGATGTTGTGCCATGTGCTTCGCAGTGCGAAAAGCGTTCGTAGCAATGGGGTTGCGACCAATATCGACGAGATCATGTAAGCTCTAAATCCGTATCCATATTTATTGTGGCTAACCGGTATGGTTAGGGACGTGATGGAGGCCATGAAGTCGTCAGCACTGATCATTTCCCCCAAGCTATTGCTCAGCAAGTTCGATATCAACATGAATCGACTCTCCGCGATCTATAGTGCCGTATCAGCTTAGAGTGATTGAGACCTCCATGGCGTTCCCAGTAATGATATATCATTTTCACCTTTCATAGCTCTTTGGCGTCTATTTGTGGCAGCGGGCGGGGAAGCGTGGGGTCGCCGGCACACAGTCGGTGCGGAAGAACATAAGCTAATGAAGCAAAAAAAAAGCTAGTAAGATGCCGAGCGGGGGATGTATGCAGTTCTCGCATTGCATACCACAAACCACACGACAACGTCTTGAATCTTAGCAGCAACGTCGCGATTTGCAAGTTTGGGGTCAGGTTCGGATTGTTTACCTATTTATTGGGGATCATACAGTAGTACTAGCCCAGAACCAATGGAAGTGGCCACGGTGTGCCACTGGAAAGCTTCAAGTTGCACGTGATCGCTAGGACCACCGCCTGCATGACAGCTACAACGATCGTCATCCGAAATGGTTACTTATGGTTTCAGAGGCTATCGATATCAAAGTGAGCACTTGATTCTTGGTGGCAGGGATCTGATTTTAAGTTATCTGGCTCACTTCATGAAGATAAATACTACTGTGAAATTATTGAACAGGACTCTTGTCCGTCCATCAGCGGCCAGCGGTATGCTGATCTTATTCCAAGAGATGCGATCCAGAGAGAAGGTGTGTGACGCCCACTGAGTTCCTTGCTTTATTTTCATACCGGAAGGAAGCATGGATTTCGCAAACCATAGACTCCTCGCCGTGGCTCAGGATTTGGTGACGGAGAGCTTTGACTGGATTTTAACTGGGTCGACGGTCGCATGGATTTACTTGATCGACCTGGACGACCGCGAGTTTACAGTTAACGGCCTCACATTTTAATTTGGACAATATGCCACCTGCGCTGTCGGAGTACTTTGATCGAGATTACGGTGGCGTAGTGTCCAAGAATATCCCAGGAGAGTACCTTCCACTGTTTCTCGCTGGCCTCCTCCGAACTTTGACGTTAGCGAAGCAAAACAGAAACACAGCGCCCTAGGGTCCGCTGTTGTTCCACTGGCCGAATGGGGGGCGCCGACATGGGATACACTATCGCTGCCACAACGCCTCTCCAGCTTGCTTGTTGAAACGATCGTGACGGACCATGCGTACGAGCTCTCAGCACGAGATATGCCATCACTTCAGCCAAGGATAAACCTTGCATGCTGGCAAAATCATATGCGCTGCAACTCCTTCTCTCCTCCACTGCCCGATAGTACACGGATATCCTTTTAGAGGAGTTTTATGTGTCACCCTTAATAAGGGGCATATTTGCTGCAACTATGCAACAACATGCTACATAACCGGCGAACGCCTTCAACACGTTTGCTGCTGGCTTCGAGGCTGCCTCTTGGTCTTCTGCTCTAGGCTTGACTAGCGCCTCTATGTGGAGCGCGAGGTTGGTCTGATGGTAGACCACCTTCGGAAGAATAGAGGAGGAATAGGTATTATTATATCTAGCTGGCAACTCGTCGCTGTCGCTGTCGACCGGTAGACCACACGGCACTCGCCCGTTCTTGACATTCACAACGGCAACAAAGAACTTTCTGATAGTGTTCTTCTCCTGATGAATCTGCTTAGTCCTGCACTAACGACACCGAAGAATCCGTGGTCACAGACTCGAAAGGAGCCGAAACATGGAGATGAGGAAGAACAAGACATCGGGGCTCCTGAATCATGTGCGCGCACGCAGAATCGCACTGCTATCCATGCCCTGAATGAAAAGATTGTCTGGGCGATCCTCTATCACACCGACTTTCATGCCTACACTCATATTCTCCCCCTTGTTTCGCAAATTTTCCGTTCCGTCTGTCTTGCCCACCCCCAGATTGGCAACCATATCCTTCTTAGCCACGACCATGGTTTTACGTTCCACACTTGGTATAAATGCTCCCATGATTACGCTCTTGCGGCTCTGGCGCGGTTGCCCGACGGCTGGCTAACAACAGAGCTCACGAATGCGTTTCGGTACCGTCAAGTGGGGTCTAAGTCGTACAAGTTGATTGAGATGATATTGGAAGGTAAAAGGCCCGATGTGCCTGTTGACTTGGAGTGAAAAGCTATTATGTCGCCATGCTTGGAGGTCGTAGAGATGCGAGTACAAGCAGTTGAAGGGACTTGGACAATAATAACAGGCGATAAAGCCTCTTGGGATATTTGGCATATATGCGCTTAATACTTTACTAGATCTCAATGGGGCATTGAATTTGCTCACAAAATCGTCTTGTGTCTTTGACTGTGATTTCATTCCGCCGGGATTTTGCGTAGTCTGTTGGGTCCACTAAGGATAGCCACGAGCCAGACGTGTCCTTGCGACAATATCCATGCAGTAGCAGGTGCCAGGTGTCAATCTCCTAATTTCCCCCTTCTTGTAACTCAATGTCATTGTTCAACATGCAGGCGCTTAAACCTTGCTTCCGCGTGCTATTTACTACTCTTGTTGCTCGTCTCCGAGCGAGCTTTCTTTTCTATTTTTCTTTCCCACTCGCCCCCTTTCTTTGTGCTGTACTGACTTGAATCAGGCATAGGTTACCCGGCTCGCGAGTCCTCGTGTCTCGGCGCCTCGGTTCTACCCCTGCGTGCGCTTTGTGCATCACCGGGTCTCCCACCTCACACCAGATGTTCCTGGCTCACCAAATTTACCACAGACTCGATCTATGCACCTTGATTGTTCCGCAACTTGCCTTTCAGGCTCGCCGTTTCAGTGCCCCAGCGGAGAGAAGGCTAAGTTGGCCTGTTGTAGGGTAGATTGCGGCCGGGACGCGAACACCAATTTATATTACAAATGCTGATAGGAATGCGGTGAGTATCGAGCGTGTATAACACGATGTGATGGGCCACTTGCAACGTTGCTAATTTAGAATGGTATTCGGCTGGTCAACGTATAAGAGCTGCACCCCCATTCTTATCCTCTGCTCCACACTAACTCTCGAATTTACTCTCGCCTTGATTCTTTCTGAATATCGTGGCTACTCAACATGTCGCTTATACAGTCCAGTCAGGTATCCGAACCTAGTTACCAGTTCTCGAAAGAGATCTCTGGGAAGATCAACCCGAGGGTGCCTGTGCGCCTTATGTTTCCTGGTGGATGGAACAACAAAGATAGCGAGATATTTGGATGGTACGACTCACAGCCGCACAAGCTCTTTCGAACG